TATCCCAACATTGTACTCCTGGATGAGTATTACAACCTCTGTAGATTATTATATTCAAGGTCCAGTTGTCCTCATTGTGGAAATATCAGCTTTGGTTGGACTTTGCCTTTACAGCTGGCATAACTAAGATTGTAAGGGTACTGTATTCCAACAATTGGCTGTTAGGGATGTTCAGCAGATTCTAGGTAGGAGTTCAGTATCCAAAAATATGTAGTAGTGCAAACATTTATTTTCTGTGTGTTTCCCCTTAGGTATCTTAGGACCAACTCTACGTGCTGAGGTTGGGGATACTTTAAAAGTTCACTTTAAGAATACAGCTACAAAACCTCTTACTATCCACCCGCAAGGAATTTCATACGGGAAACTTTCTGAAGGTAATCATTGCTTTTTTTCTGTTGTATGTAATTCTAATGGAATTCATATTGCAGTACGAAAAATGTATTGTTGTAGTGGAACTGATATTCTTGTAATAGTTTGCCTCTGATTCAAGGTTTTGTTTTGGGTCATATTGTATTTCTATATTATTTGTTTAACATCCACTGTATAGTAGATGATTACATTGTCTAGTTATTTCAATTTATTTAATAAAACTGTTGTAGGTTGCCAACTGGCTCAAATCTCACAGGTGGGGTCTCAGTGACACTACTCTATGTGCTGCAACACAAACCTCCCATGTAAGATTTTAAGTTTTAAAAAGAGTACAGCAAAATCCCAAAACAAACATAATATATTGTAGATTATCCAGTCTTTAAATATAGTGGCTGCACTATTTTTTTTAGTTTTTTACCCTCTATTTGCACTGGTGATCCAGCTAGTAACACACATTCTGTCCTCCACTCTATGAAATAGCAACAAAGCCACCTCTGTCCTGCAGCACTGACAAAGGTAGTGTTAGATGTACTGGCAGATTTGGACTAACAAATTAAAGTTGAACTCCAGCTAACACTTTTTAAGCAGTTACAGCAACAATTTTTTCCTTTTGGGAGAAAGGTTTTACATAAATAAAAGCTAACCATTGTAATCCCCCTTAAAAATATTAAATGGTTTGTATCAACCCTCTAGCTGACACTTTTGCTGCACAGCTTGGTAGTTAAAGAAAATTGAAAAATAACATACTTATTGGCTGGATCAACAGATGAAAATAAAGGAAAAAAGCAAGATAACTAATGTAGCCACCACATTTAAGGATAGGTAGGCTGCAATAAATAAAATGTTTACTTTTGGATTTAGATACGCTATATTGTTCTGATAGACAGGCCACATCAGATCTTCAATGGCACACACAGACTGCCACTGCAAGGCTTCAGGCCATTAGTGTATTGCTGTACAAAGTTGATCCTTTAGTCTCATACATTAATGGTTATGTCATTTCAAAAGTCATTTTCAATATTCTTAAATCTGCAGCTGTCAAAAAAAATAACCTGCCATGAACATGCTTATTCAGGATTTTATAGGAAGACAACTAGTGACTGACAACACAGATCAGGTATGTTCGGACTAGGATCCAAATCCATGTGTGTGAGTCTGCCAGAATGCTGTCCCTTGTATGGGCCCTGGCTGCAGATGACTGGCTCATACAGGTTACGGCTTCCTGGTGGGCTCACACACGTAGGTTTGAATTTTAGTCCTTTTCTCCCAGTCGCTAACCTGGGTTGTCACCCTCTCACATCTCTGCTACCAGTGGAGACCACAAATGGTAACCAATACTTATTAGAAGCTGTGTCCTGCTGATTTCACCATCAGGAAGCCCACCGCTGCTTTTAGGGGCATCTGGCATTTTTTTTTCTGCCTTTTAATGCCCCTCCATGTTAGCCTCTGTGTCCACACCATAGCCAGCTACAAAAAAAAAAGTAGCGAGATACTGTATGTAAATATACAAAGTTGCTAATGCGGCATAGCTCTTGTCACAGATGCCCCCCCCCCAGCCCTTGCGCTGTCCCTGCTCTATCTCTGCAGTCTCTCATCCATGCCACTCCCCCCTCCTGCAAAGATGAAAGGCATTCCTAAGGCCAGCTTGAGCCACGCTAACTCCCCCCCCCCGGTTGCCTAGGTGACTAGGGAGGTCCGACCAGTTTTAAGAAGCTGATGCAGAGCTCCCAAGGTATTCACCACTGGGTAGCTGATGGAAGGAGCCCGAGGGCTGCGGCCTGGACCTTTGTGGCCAGGCGAGGCAGAGACCCAAGTCTACCTAGGACCCCCCTTCTCCTAGAGCTGGGGAAAACTGATTGCTAGACTCCAGAGATCCAGACTCACACCAAACTCCCTGTTGGATTACTTGCTGCAGAGACTCTCCCTTGGCTCTCATTGTTGGACTTTAAGTGTGTTGGTCCTTCCGTGTCGCCGTGGGCTGGCGTATTCACCCTCCCTGTGAACGCCCCTATTCGGTGACTGTCATCTGTTTTCCTCAATAAAACTTTGTGCGTTTGCCATTTACTCTGTGTGTTCTGTCCTGCCTACGCTCCGTCACAGCTCTACAATGTTATATTGTATCATAGTGGCAATATTTTAGGAATGCCACATAGATGAAAAAAAATATCTGTAAGCTCTAAATTGGACCTGTTGGCAGGATTAGTGTTTTAGGAATAGCATTGCACTCTAGAAAATAGTTCGGCTAAATACAGTGTTATCTAATCCTTACAGTTCATCAGTTTTTCTGTCAAAGATGAAGAGATAATTCATGCATAATGTAAAATGTACATATTTGGTAGCTGAAATGGCAACATTCCACTATAATGTTTTATGCATTATTGATGGTATACATAGCTCTGCCAACTCTGCCATAAAAATAATTGCTAAAAGCAACAGAAGGTACAGTAAGCATAGATAATACAAATATGTTAAAGATGAATTCTAGGTATGGCAGATTTTACATTCCTACATTGGTCCAGCTTGGACCAATGTAAGTATGTATGTGCCATATCTGTAGGATGCCTATGTAAGCTGGAAATCACTGTAATAGGCACTGCTACTACAGTGGTCTTCACTAGTTTATGGGTCCCTACTGCATTGTGAAGTCATTCACTCTACATGGACACCATTCAGGGAATCCTTTGCATTTTCTCAATAAATTGATTGGACAAGAATAAACAAATATTTTCAAGTGCCCACCTCTAACTGATACTGACACCAGAAATATATGATGCTTAAACCAACCAGTGGAGTTTGATACCATAATCGAACAACAATCAAAAGACAAAAAATTGCCTTACCTGGAATTCATGTTTAAATAGAATTAGAAATGGTAAGTACATACAACTGCAGAGCAGTATATGCACAGCAAAATCAAATTGCAACTAGAGGAATCCCTTGGAAATGGTACCTGTGAAATCACAAGTATCACAATGTTAGGTTGTGGTTGGAGAATTAGGAATGCCACATATTTTACAGACAAAAAGTCCTGAAACTGTTTCTTTTTAGGGTCAAAATATGCTGATGGAACCTCCTCGCTGGAAAAGTTTGATGATTCAGTATTACCAGGCCAAACCTATATCTATAGTTGGGACATCACAGAAAACATGGGACCCAAAGAAGATGACCCTGATTGTCTTACCAGTATTTACTATTCTGCAGAGAACACAGTGCAAGATGTGAACTCGGGATTGCTTGGCTCATTGCTGATATGTAAAGAAGGTAATTTGAGGTTCCAAGGGATTAAGGTTGCTCCAGTAGCAGACTTTGACGTACTACAGGCTAGGTACAGTTCATCAAAAGCCATTTATGTGAAAAGTAGTATGTTTATTGTTGGAATGCATAAATATATTTTTTTTTCATTAGATCAGAACTTCTTTACTTACCTTGCATCTTATAAAGGTGTTACCCCATGCAAAATTGTTATACAAAATTGGAGGAAGAAAAATAATACACATAGTTTCAAACAAGAAATATGACGGCACACATAATAAAAAGCTAAAACAGATTTTTCTACAGCTTTTAAAAACTGTCCACTGTATTTAATCTAATCATATACTAAGACCACTTAAACTGTGTTTGTATTTTAGTAGTAACTCATTGGGGTAGGGAGTGTTGTTCTTACATAGAAGCCCTTTTAGTGTATGTACACTAAATATGAGTTTTAAGTCATTATGGAGATCACAGTGGTCCCAACAGTGTGAAAGTTATCCAAGGACTGAAGGATGTCTCATTACTAGTTCTTTGAGATACCTTGGTCCAGTGTTTTGTTCAGTCAAAGGCAATGTATACTGCAAGGCCTCTTACACCCGGATGTATTCATTTACTGCTGTTTAAACTCTGGACCTTGTTGACAGAAAGAACCTGAATGAACCTAAAATGTTCTGTAAAAACCTTGCGCATACACCCACGTATAGGTGTATAAATGTGCATACAGTGAAGGAAATAAGTATTTGATCCCCTGCTGATTTTGAATATCACATGTTTATTGCACCCGTGTGAATGTTTCCATTGAAAACCATGCAGCTGTGTTCAGATCCATAAATAAAAAAGGCTTGTAAATGTCTTTTTTTCTCCAGCCATGTGAATGAAGCCTAACTGATCTTTACGCAGCTGTGTGCATCATTCCATAGCCAACAATGCATCTGTGTTCAGATCAGTAAAACATTGTGTTTTTACTTCAAACTCCAAGAGACCTTTTAGTATATCATTTTTTAAAAATATTTTTTAAGTAAATTGAATATTTCATATTTACAACTTGCAACAAGCATGCGGTACTCTGCCCTACTGTTCCACATATTCATTAGGCTGACCTTAAAGTAGAACTTAAGCAAAATGTTTTTTTTATCTTTTCATTTTTGATAGGGTAAGGGAGGGTCATAACCTCTGTCCGTTTTTTGTTTTTTTTTGCCATCTGTTTACCATTCACTTTTACCCATTGCCAAAATAGGAAGTGTGGGGAAATCTCTCCAGAGTAAGGGAATCCTTGTTATGATGTTATTTTGTTGTCTTCTGCTTGTCTTCTGCTCTTAGGAAGTCTGAATTATGATGGAACCCCAAAGAACTTTAACAAAGAGTTTGTGCTGTTGTTTGCGGTGTTTGATGAAAATAAAAGTTACCAGGAACTTCCATCAAAGAAGGAGAGGCCAATAATGTACACAATCAATGGATATGTGAAAGGAACTGGGCCAGGTATGAATTTGCACCACTTTCCATTTAATATTTTCTGAGTTTTTTTAACCAACCAAATACCAGAAGGTTACTTAATTTCCCAAAAATTGAGGCAAAAGTAAATAATAAGTATATAGTATATTATAATATGATATATAAAAAAATAAGAAAATCCTGGAATGTCCACTTTCCAAAGAGAGGCTGTTTGATATGTTTTAAAACAGGAAGTAAGAAAAAGGTTTTCAAAATTTTTTATTTCCTTTATAAAGGAAAAAAATCAAATCTAGTGGCCCCTCAAGGAAGTTCTATCTGTCTAAAGAAAATTCAGTTGTCAGTCAAACTACCATAGTGCTTTATTGGCTTTTTTTTTGTGTTCTTGCTGTATGCTGATTAAAAACACATACGGTTCCCAAAAGTAATATAACATGCACTTACAGACCAAGAATGCCAGAGGAGCACTTCCCTGGAAAGGGTTGTGGTGTTACTGTGTGACACTGTGAACCCCTAAAGTTCTTGAAGATATGTGGCCGCCAGTAGGAGAAGCTGTCATAAAAGACACTCTGTAATGAGAACCTTATTCTTTCCCTCCTCGACAGGTACCTTTCTCTATTGCTACTCCTTTTCTCTCCCTAACAAGCTGGGACTCTGTCCCTATCTTACTCTTACACTGCTGGTACACTGAATGACACAGAATCTCCTATTTAAGGAATTCTGTGCCAAGATGGCCACACAAATCACACAGTATTTGGTATCCAATAAGATATGCTCCCTAAGATGGTTGCCAGGGGTACATAGCACAGGAAAAATTAGTCCTCAGTGGTCTCCTGCCTGCTTGAATAAATGACACAGTGCCACCATTAGGCTGGTAGATATTCTGCAGCCCAACACCTGCTTACAAGCATAATTTTATTTGTTTATACAGTATATTTTTTTTTAAAGTGCACTGCCTATGTACCTTTAGTAAATCAACCCCTCAGTTAAATTTTTTCCTGAAATACATAAATCAGGAAAACTACTACATTATTAAGAGCCACGAGAGGAAGCGGAAGAGAATCAGGAGGAGGAGAATCAGCTTCCAGCTGCTTCATTGAAAGCCATACAGGGAGATCGGTGCTTGAAACTGTCACTCCGCTGCACCGATCATCCCTGACTGTGCATCAGATCCCCCTTCTGGGCCCCCTGTGTGCTCCTCAGCCCCCCCCCCCCGCAAGTCTCTGATGCCTCATCTTCTCTGACAATGCCCAGCCCCTCCCCAATCCTCCACAACAATGGCACAGCAGAGGAGAGAGCCTGGATCTGCTCATCCTCCCCTGTCCCTGCCCACACTCCAAACCTCCATGCAGCATCTGAGAAGCGGATGTGTGGGAAATTGTGTCCAGATCAGCCGGCATCTCTGTAATGCTTCTAGATGTGCACTCCTTCCTTCCTCCATCCATTCCCTCCCTTTTCTTTCCTTCTTTCCTCCATCCCCTCCTTTGCTTCTTTCTCCCTTCCCTCCTTTCCTTCCTTCCTCCTTCCCCTCTTTTTCTTCCTTCCATTCCCTTCTTTCCTCCCTTCCCTTCCTTCCTCCATCCATTCCTTACCTCCCTCTCTTTTCCCTTCCTTCCTCTCTCTCTCCCTCCCCACCTTCTTTCCTCTCTCCCCTTCCTTCTTTCCTCTCTCCCCCTTCCTTCCTTCCTCTATCTCTTCCTTCCTTTCCTTCCTCCCTTCTCTTCTTACCTTCCTTCCCTCCCCTTCCTTCCTTTCTTCCTTCCTCCATCCATCCCCTCCTTTCTTTCTTTCTTCTTTCTTTCTCTTTTTCTTTCTTTTCTTTCTTTCTTTCTTTCTTTCTTTCTTTCTTTCTTTCTTCTTTCTTTCCTTTCCTTTCTTTCTTTCTTTCCTTCCTTCCTTCATTTATTCCCTCTCTCCCTTTTCTTCCTCCATCTCCTCCCTTCCACTGCCCCAACATAATCATTGTGAAAAAAATAATACAAAAATATATTGTAAAAAATAATGTAAAAATTAAATAATAAAAATAAAAACAATTCTGACACCCACACCATTGCTCTGTTGTCGCCATCCACTAGCCACCCAAATGCATTTAGAAAAAATGATAAAAATAATAAAACATTACATTTAAAAAAAATCATAAAATTGTGAAAAAGAAATATAATAAATAATAATAACAAACATAAAGAACTATTGACACCATCTACTGCCCTACTGACAACATCCTATACATACTATCCACTGCCATACACTCCACACTCCTCTCCCTGTACATATTACCCAACCCTATACACTTCACACTCCTCTCCCTGTACATACTACCCACTGTCATACACTCCACACTGTACTTCCCTATTTAACATTACCACATTCTGCACTATGTAAGTAATCTCAGACACTATTGAACCACACCCCTTTTAAGCCACACCCAATTTTTTAGCAATTTAAAACACACGCCTCTCTCTCACCCCCTCCTCTGTCTCTTTATTTCACTCCTCCTCTCTCTGTCTCACTCCTCCTCTCTCTGTCTCACCCTCCCTCTCTCTCTTCTCCCACATGGCAGCCATCTTTAAACCTGGAAGTTCCCAGTGACTTCTACAGAAAGAAGCCGGGAAAATTCATGCAGTCTTTGCTGCAGTAAATATGTAAATGCCCCTTCTTTGCAGCTGAACTGCAATATGTAGGTGGGGTGTTGTGTGGGTGTGGTTTTAGTGTAGGCGGGGAGATAGAGGGCACAATTATCTTTTATTGTCCGGGGGGCCCCTAGAGTTGTCATTCCGCCCCTGCTCACAGCCCCATTTGTGTTAATATACAGTATCATTACCAATGTATAATGTATAAAACATCAATACCAAGAAGTAAACTATGGACCAGAACTTGGTAGGGACCATTTAAGGACCGTTTTTTATAGATGGATTCTTTGGCAGTTGTCAATAAGGCAACTTTGTTGTGCATGGACATTCTGCCACACTGTAATGATATGCAAAATAAAATGTGGAGTGCTTTGGGAGTCAGCCTTGTATGGAAGTGCGCACTCTGCAAGAAGCAACTCAACCCTAAAAGAGGTTCATATGTCATTACTTGTTGTCCCCAAATACTCTTAGGGCTTTATCATCTGTGCCATTAATAAACATGAAACCTGCAGTTATATATATTTGTCTAGTATATTTTTTCCTATGTACCTGTTAATTATGTTTAAACCTTATTTTCAGATTTAGAGGCCTGTGTTGATGACAAAATCAGTTGGCATCTACTAGGCATGAGCTCCAAACCTGAGATCTTCTCAGTTCATTTCTTTGGCCAGACCTTGAATGAGGATCATCACAGTGTCTCAGTCATAAGCCTTGCTAGTTCTGCTTCCACTACAGCAAACATGACCGTCACTCAGAGTGGAAAATGGACAATATCCTCCCTTAATGAAAAGCACATTGAAGGTTAGAAGTCATTAATTCTGTAACACATCTGTAAGGAAACTGAAAAATGCTGGATTCAGATGTAACATTTCTACTTTTTGTAGACACTAATAGGGCTTGGCGTATGAATTTTTGCAAAAACATTTTCTATGCTTGATCACTGTACTTGTATTTAAGATAGTACTGTTGCATGCATTAATACAGCTTCTGTACACTGCATCTGGGCTGAGCAAATACACCTGTAGCTGTGTAGAACAGGCTTAGGTGGCACGTGTGCAAGCCCTAAATGTTCCCTTGACTGAGGATATTATATTTGCCAACACTTGTATCTATATATGTTTGCTGTAGTCTGAATGAAAAATTGTATGGTATTAGTGAAACATACTGTTAAAATTTTACATGGTAAATAAAGTCAGAGTCCATCTCATATTTATATTCTACTTTTGGGTGTGTGCTGGATTTTGTCACCAAATGGCCTTTTAGTGGCTCCATTGCCCTCCATAGTCCCCTTTTTGTTCCTATCTACAACCATTATGATACCAAAATGGTTTAATTCCTCCTGCTGTAATGTAAAAGAAACATAGTTGCATTGTGACCACCGCCAAACATGACCCATTTAAAATGATTGTAAAGCTTCAGTTTTTTATCCCAAAATATGAAACATGTTATACTTACAGTACCTGCTCTGTGCAATGGTATTTGTACAAAGTGATCCCTTTTCACCTCTTCTGGGGCCCTCTGCTGGTGTCTTCGCTTTCTGCTCCCATTCGAGTACCCCCATAGCAAGCCACTTGCTATTGGAGTACTCATGCGGGCTTAATACTTAGCCTCACAAGATTTGATTGACAGTACTGGGAGCCAATGGCTCCCTCTGCTGCCTCTAAGTCCTCTGAGGAGAGAGAAAGCAGCGCTGGATTGAGATAGGACTCAGGTAAATTTTAGGGGGGCTGGGGGGGGGGGGGGCAGCTGATCATGGAAGGTTTTTACCTTAATGCAGAGAATGCATTAATGTACAAAAACGTATGCCTTTTCAATCAATTTAAGTGAATGGAGCTAAGCCACAACTACCCTGCAAATGCATCAGTGCACACATTAGTAGTGCGATGCTGTTTGTAGATTGCTTTTTAAAGAGGTGGCAAGGGCTGCTGTTAGTATAAATGTAGCCTTACTGGCAAAATCTCCAGGTTAGAAACTTTGCAACAGATTCACAAAAAACTGCTTTCTTAACTCTTTCTTCCCAGTCCTAGCATCCAATATTAGAGTCTGTATGCCTGGGGAGGTTGAAAGGATCAGCAATCATGTGACTACTGCCAGTTGCCGATCATTAGTGGGGAACCATGAGCTCGGTATCTCATGCATTAAGTGCAAATGTGAAGCACAGATGCAAAAGGGCAGGCATAGTTGTTACTTGACAAGTGTCTGTCACTGCTTCTGCAGCTCATGTTAACCCCCCCCGATACCGGAAGATCCCCACTGTAGCGGTATCTGGGGGTAGAGGAGAGAGGCTCCACCCACACAGCCGTATCATTCATTCACAGAGATCTGGGCATGAGGTCCTGCCTGCCACTGCGGCAGATGTACTTGTAGTTCCCAATGGAGTACATGTGTGGTGATCAACTGTCTGTACCTTGGTACAATCATAGAACTGAAGAAAAAGTCTGCAGGAGCCAGGCATTGCGTATGCGATCCACTGATCACGTGTGCAATGTATTCTTTTTGTCCTGCAAAAATATGTGCATTTATTTATTTACTTTGAAGTGGACTTAACGTTTAAGAAGTTGAGCACTTTGTTAATGCTTTATATGTATTTTAAAGCTGGTTTCGTGTTGCAATCTGATTGCATAGTTTCTGTACTATCTCCTTTAGGTTTGCCAGCAGCTACATAATGTTGGTCCTGTAAATGGTCCTTTCACTACACATTTGGTAAATCTAAAGGAGTTTGCAAAATCAGATTACAATATGTGTTGCCAGTTTTACATATATGAGAATATATTTAAACATTTTATTCCAAATGTAATCTTTTACAGCTGGAATGCAGGCCTTTTTGAATGTTGAAACATGTCTTAATAAACAACGTAGCAAAAAACCAGTTTACCAAACACGTTTTATTAAAAGCTGGGATCACTATATAGCTGCAGTTGAAGTTGATTGGGATTATGCCTATCGTGGTTCGGAGGCCTCTGCAAGGTAATATTCTCTGCATATTCATAAATATGAAACTGATGGTTCTAAACTTCAGGGGCTATTGATGGGAAAACCTTTTATCAGTGGCCCTGGGAGAATATACAGGTTTTTGTTGTGTTGGCCACACTATTAAACTTGATAAAATTGTGTAATGTGTCTAGGTGTTGAATAGGTATGATAGAAACGTGTATATGTACTGTATTTCAGCATGGCATAGCAGAGCTGCACAAGTATCTATGAACTATTGACCAAACACATGGCACTGCAAAACTCCAACATTTCCGATTAATCCACACCTCTTTTCCACATATCTGTCACAAAGGGAGCATGAGACGTTGGGGTTGATTTACTAAAGACTGTTTACTTTACAAGAGAAGTTGCACTTTGCAAGGGAATTACCCCTAGGGTTTAATGAAAGAGGTGAAGCTCTGTTGACTTTCATCATCCAATCACATGCTAGCAAAAATGCTGTTTTTCAATATTTTCCTTCCACGTGATTGGATATTCTTTGCAAAGTAAAATTGCACCACATTCACTAAGCTCTTTGCAAATTTCCTTGCACAGTGCAACCTCCCTTGCAAAGTGAACAGCCTATTGGCCTTTAGTAAGTCAACCCCTTTATGTACCAAAAAAACTGGGGTTGATTTAGTAAAGGCAAATATATTATTCACTTTGAAAAGGAAGTGTGTTGTGCAAATGGATTTTCCCCAGAGCTTAGTGAATGTGGTGAAATTTCACTTTGTAAAAAATACCCAATCACATGCAAGGAAAACTTAAAAGAACAGCATTTTGCTTGCACATAATTGAATGCTGAAAGCCAGATCATACTGTATCTCTTAATTTTTGGTGTAAAAATGTGATTTACCTTTGGCCAGATTACATACAGTATACTGCAAATGTTTCATATTTACTCTTTTGCAGCCAGCAGGTAAAGCAGTATACAAATGCAGAGCTAGTGCTGGGCTTTCTTATTAGTTTTTAATGTATAAAGTAAGCACATCACATAGCCAAACTGCTTTAGCAATATGTTTATATTAGGCATATACAATACATACAACCACCTATTAGGTACTGATAACCAAGTATGTCAAAAGCAAATCTCTGGGTTGTTGAAATGCCCTCTCTAGTGCTTCCACTAGTGCCTGTTTGTCATAACCTCATTGAATGAAATCCTCCAACATCCTCCCTGCCTGCTCACGGTACATTGTATCTGAGCATGTGATTCCCCAGATTCTGATAAACTCACTGTATGGCAACCCACATTTTAGATTCTCTGGATGGAAACTTCTTCTATGCAGGTATGTATTTCTGTCAGTGGACTTTTTGTATACATTTGTGTGCAAAGTACTGTTTTCCTGTATCACGAGAACATCCAAAAAGTTGGTAGCCATTCTACTGTATTCCAAGGTGAAAGAGATATTGGGGTGGCATCCATCTAGCTGTGTTTTAAAGTTAAATAAATCTGCCTCAGTGTCATGTCAGATAAAGAAATCATAATCTATGTACCTAAGCCATATCAGTACATGATCCAGGTACAATGGGTGGCCATATACATATCTTTCCTCAAAATTTGCCATAAAAAGATTTGCATAGCTAGGGGCCACATTAGACCCCACCGCTGTGCCTTGGCATTGCCAAATTATCCTGTTTGTCAGGATAATTTCCAAAATATCTAAAAAAAAAAATAAAAGAGTCTGGCTCAGCTTTCCTTTTTTTATTCTATTCTATTTTTTTATTGTATTCCTGTATGTATTTCTGAACATCAGCTCTTATATGTTTTAAGTTTAACTTATATGTTTAAGTGTAGCTCCTTGCACCTAGAGGCATGAATGTTCTTTGCTGTTAGTCAGCAATGGAATGTACATCTTTATGGTATTATGCTTGATGTTAGATGACATACTTGGTTATCTGTACCTACTAGGTGATTGTATGTACTGTATATGTCTAATACCAACTTATTGCTAAAGCAGTTTGGTGATACATTAAAAACTATTGTACTAACATATTGATACACTGTGGAGAGGTTTTTAAGCACCCTAAATAATAAATTCATATTGCTGGTTGTTGAATGGTGTAGTTAATACTGGTGTGCAAACCTTTATTGCTAATTACATGTGCTTTCTTATTAGATACCCCAGCAAATATTACATGTTTATTAGTAAAATATTCATTTTTGGACAAGTCATAAAAATAATTGAACAAAATAGTTTATAGACATCTAAACTTTCAAAGAATGTTATATACAAATCATAACCACTATAGTTGTGATTAAGAAAGGCATGTTAAATATGAGCTCCCTAATCAAAACGGAATTTGGAATAAGTAGTAAGTAAGAAAATAAATGTCTGTTCTTTGTATATGTCTTTTTTAGCACATCTTGTCACCAGACCTTTAAAAAGGTAATTTATCAGCAATTTTCAGATGGCACATTTACAACTCCAACTGAACCTGAAAGATCAAGAAGAGAACTTGGACTGACTGGTCCTGTCATTCGAGCTCAGGTTAAAGACACAATTATGGTATGTACAAACAGCTATATCATTTATTTATAAATGCTTTAAATGTTGCGTAGATGTAGAAATCAAGTAAAGTTTTTGAGTTACTTAAGATGTATAGTTTAGGATAGAATGTTAAAGGGTTAAAACTCATGGGGACTGATTTACTACAACTGGAGAGTGCAAAATCTGGTGCAGCTGTGCATGGTAGCCAATCAGCTTCTTACTTCAGCTTGTTCAATTAGTCTTTGACTAAAAACCCAGCAGCTGATTGGTTTCTATGCAGAGCTGCACCAGATTTTGCACTCTCCAGGTTTAGTACATTGACCCCATGGCATCTATTTAAATTAGTCCACATTGCAGTTAAAAATTCTATTCACATGCTTCCGTAATACAAATAACTCTTGCTAAAGTCTATACAAATGAATATCTAATGTGACAAATATTTCCATGTATTTTAGGTTGTATTTAAAAATATGGCTAGTCAGCCTCACAATATATATCCACATGGAGTGTCATTACAGAGGTTCTTTAAGGGATATGTACCTGATCTAAAAGGTTTGTATTTTGTTTCTATATCACATTCTATCCTAAAATACTGTTTTTTTCTGTGAAGTGAAATTCTATCTCAAGGTTTACAGTGACACCTGCTTTTTTTGTGTCTCTTGTCCTCCATAAAATATAGAGAGAATGGATAGACCAAAGAGAGGAACTAATGCAGGCCACAGATGAGTCAAAAATTGGCCATTTAAAAAACAAAAAAAAAAACCAAAATGAAAAATCGGTCATTCAATCGGCCGAGGTTACCACCAACGGTAAAAAAAATCAGCCGATTTTCGTCCCGTTTATGGCCGGCATTTAACCCCATAATTACTTCTGTCCCTTGCAGAGACAGGGTAGCACACATAAAAATAAGAAGAATAGAAGAAGAGGAAAGAAGAAGAAGGAAAAGAAGAGGAAGAAAAAGAAGAAGAAAAGAAGAAGAATTCCAGTCCGCTATTATATTTTATATGAAAAGTCTTGCGGCTGCAGCAATGTATCCATTTGTATCCATTTCGGATACAGATGTTTTTATTCGGATACAAATGGATACATTGTTGCAACTGCAAGACTTTTTCATATAAAATATAATAGCGGACTGGAATTCTTCTTTTTCTTCTTCTTCTTCTTCTTGCAGGTCACAGCTCATGCGCAGATTTTTTATCGGTAAAACGATCGGCCGATTTGCCCATCATTGCTGGGAAAATCGGCCGATCGTCAAAATTGGCCGCAAATTTTCCAATGTGCCCGATAAAAAAAAATGTGCAAAAAGCCCGAAAAATGGCTGACCAATTACCCACTAAAATTGCAAAAATCGGCTGCTTTTTTTTTCCGGCCGAAAAATTGGCCGATTTTTGACCCGTCTATGGCCGGCATTAGAGTTTCAGCTGACAAGAGATTCCTGGCTGTAGTGTTATTACAAGGTGGAGTGAGGTTTTCCCTCGGGAACAGAGAGTAAGCTGGGGCTACGTACTTCACTGGGACAAATACCCTATCCCCTTATAGCTGTTATGACAGGACGGTAAAAGAGCAGAGAAAATTTACATAGAAGTTCAAACCGAGAATACAGACTTCAGGCCAAGGTGTGTACACATAAACTCTTACTGGAACTTAGCTTCTAGTAGAATTACACTCAGGTGGCTACAAGAGTACTCTAAGGGAAAGCCTACCACAGGATCATGGATACATCTCAACTACATTCTTGACTCTTATTACATTTTATTATGTCCTGCTGAGGAGGGGCATTTATTTACCCACACATGCAGACTGGGCACACTTCCATATGTTGGGCAACCTGCCCTTGTGCCCATCAACATTCCTTGACTTTCTCAATTCCAGCTCCAGGGACAAGTTCCTATGGGCAGTGCTCCCAAATCACTTATGATGAGGAACTTTTATCTCCTTACTTGACCATCCCTAATTCCAAACACATTAATAGTAACATAAAAAAAATATAAATACAATTAGGCAGACAATTACAATTAACCAGGCAAATACAATTAAGCTTAACAAGAAGCATTTAAATTGAAAAGAAAATAGTATTGCATAATAATGTAAATAATGCTTAGTAATCCTCTGTGATGATTGCCTCAGCTCAGTCCAGAGATAGAGGCATGCAGAATCTGTATATTCATCTAAACTTTTACATCCCAAGCAGTCAGACCAGTATAGCTACTTCTCTGTTAAGAAACAATAATCACTGGGCATATTAACCAGCCACAAGGTTACTGTATCAAAATGGATTTTCCCCATATGCCCAGCGATAAACAGAAAATAGGCCCCAATACTTAGAGAGTGTGTATAGTTGTATTTTTATTTATGTTCATAGCTAGAAGATAAGATTTGTAAAATTATTTTTTCAGATAGGCAAATGTAAAGCTTGTAGCCTTTCATATTTACCATTTTAGTCAGAGAGTGACACTTTAGGTTCTATACAGTTTAAACAAGAAACTGTTGCTTTTCGGAGAAAGCCTATGTTACTGAGTTAATTAACCAATGTTCAAACTTTACATGCAGCTGAAATAGCCAGAGGAGAGACAAACCATTCATTCTCCTGATACACTCATTAGGCTCTATACCTTGTTTTAGATAAACAGAAAGCCTAGCACCAGTTACTCTCTTTCTTTTTGAAAAAACCATTAACATCTGCAAATCCATTATAATCCCCTAGCTGTTTATGTCACTGTAGTGCAAGCTAGATTCTTTATCTAAAAGGTATTCAAGGTTGTGATAATATGCATGTTTTTACTAGGTGAGGAGATGCTGAATAATACAGTCATGCCTGGTGAAACAGTCACCTACTTCTGGACAGTTCTGGATAATGATGAGCCCACAAAAAATGATCCGCAATGTTTGACGAGAATATATCACAGTACTGTTAACATATTGAAGGATATGGCATCTGGGCTGCTTGGAACACTTCTAATTTGCAAGTCAATGTCACTAAATACCAGAGGATTACAGGTATAATTGGGAACAATAGGACATAGAAAAGCTGGGAAGCAACTAAAGCACATTTAACTAAATAAAAAAAGAATACTTACTGGTAAACTGTAGGTTAGAGTATTTAAGTTCACAAAAGTATACATTATTACCAGTAGTGGCTTCTGATCTGTTTTCTGATTTATATATTCATTTTTACATGAAAGGTAATATCAAGCAACACATGTTCTTTAAACACTAAAATATTACAAAAAATCTAAACTAAAATTTGGGCTTTTGCTTAAACAAAAATCTGATAAAATGTATACTGCATCAGTCTCCAACATACAAATAATATTTTGACCCACTTGGTGGATTCACCATAATTTTTGTGCTCATAGACAGTGATTATAATTTTACAAATTAGATTACAGATTTGTCAGCTGCTGGTAGTTTACCAGAATTCAAAGAGCACTCGGGGCAAACCCTTTGAGCCAGCTAAAAATCTTAGGGTTTGATTTACTAAAACTGGAAAGTGCAAAATCTTTTTCAGCTCTGCATGGTGGCCTATCAGTTTCTAACTTCAGCTTGTTCAATTAAGCTTTGCTAAAAAAACTGGAATCTGATTGGTTTCTATGCAGAGCTGCACACGATTTTGCACTCTCCAGGTTTAGTAAATCAACCCCTTATTCCACTATCTGAAGAGGCCCACGCTGTTTGACATGGTCAGACTTAGAAAAGGTTTTAACATATGTTGGCTTTTTATTTTTTAAAGATATTTATTAACATGCTGGGTGACATAACTACAGTTCTAAATTGCAGTATAGTACTTTAGGAATGCCCTTGGTGTAGTAATTTTAAGACACAATTGTTTCTTTTTCTTTTTCTCATTCTTGTAAATGGCTGCACAAAATGTTGGAGCTATGTAACCCCTGAATAATAATAATAATTTTCTATGTCTTTTTGATCTACCTACCTCACACTTTTTAAAGTGATGGCATAGGCTTTTCAGCTTGGCACTGGGGTACAGCAGTTCTTTATTAATGAAAAGAAACATTTCTTTTTTTTACTTAAAATAAAAATGTGATTTGATAATGCTGACAGGTTGCCTATTGATCCATATCAAGAGTATTATGGTGGGGCAGTCAAAAGCTAAAAACAAGCTCATGGTTTCAGTAGCTTGTTCTAAAATTTAACTGCTGGCCTTTCTCTATATAGCATAGATGAGTTGGGTAGCTGCGAATTTATGGTATCACCTCTACATGCCGGCAAGTGGCAGCCCTTACCCCTTACCTGGGCTCTCTGTCCCCAATCTGTATAGGTTGCAAGCAGTTATCTAACAAACCTCTGATATCTCCATAAAAAGAGCCTGGTGTTGGCACTAGTAATTAGACATGTGCACACCGTAAATTTTCTTTTCGTTTCATTGCAATTCAGATGTATTAGTTCATTCAAGAATTTTGTTTTGTCATATTCCTTATGTTGAACCCATTCATTTTCAAATTAATTTTGTATTATCGCCATGTGTTTCGTATATTCATTGGCCCAGGTAGATTTGAAAAATTTTGCAATTTTTCCTGAAGATTGCTATATATTCGATTTATTATCAAATGGGATGGATTTAAATTGGAAGGATTCAATATTTTCAGGCGCTAGCCCAACCCACAAAAGAAATAGCATGAGCTGACTGGACAATATCGACTGGCGTCATATGCATCTGAATTAATGAATGGAATGAAATTTTGGATCCATTCGTTATCTGAATCTACTACACATCATTTGACGTCATCTCAATGAAACAAAGGCATTCGTTAATTTGTTATACCATTTTTTTATTAGTTTACATTCGTTAATATGCCCATTCGAAGATTTCTATACATGAAATGAAATTTTCGTCCAAAAACGAATCAAAGCAAAATGCACATGTCTACTAATAATAAAGAAAAAAGTTAATTCATTTTTTAAAAATGTAAATTTATTAAAAAGAGTACAAAATTATTTTAATGACCTCTAAACACGTACATACATATATACATATTTAGATGTATGTACATGCATACATTTGTTTTGCATGACACATATCCCCACATGCAATTACATTTAGGCCTAAAAAGTTTAGAATTTTTTACAATATGTGGTATCAGTGTGGGAAGTAAAATTCATTTTGAGGCTATATATTCATTCTTTATTAACTTGACACAGTATTTTATATTTAATAGATATTTGGAGATTACATTGTGTTCATGTGTACAAAAAATTAGTGAATAAAATGTAGATTTTGTAAATATTTGCACCAATATTTTGTGTCATAAAAAATTAAACTGCCATCTTTTTGTTCTTCCGCTTTTAGAAAATCTATATATCTTGCTGCCAGACCATTTTTTCATTTTTATATTAAAATGAACATGATTTGCACATAAATTGCATACTTATTGTTTACAAATTGATCACAGTTTATCATCAGAGCTAGGGCTGCTACAATTTGTTGTTTCAATGTCTGTTTATTGGATTTTGGTTTACTTTGCATAACTCTGACCTGTATGTAGCTCATCGATAATTGCCTACTTCTTCCACTTAGGAAAAAGCAGACGAAGAGCAGGTTGCAATGTTTGCAGTGTTTGATGAGAATAAAAGCTGGTACTATGAAGTCAATAAGCTAAAAGCCTGTAGCTGGATGCTAACCAAAGACCCCAAAAGTCTCTACAGTTCCTATGTTATCAACAGTAAGTTACATTGGATTTTTCATCTTATTAAAACTGATCTTCAGGATAAGCAAATATTTTCCAAATACATAAGGCATGTATATTCTTGCTTGAATCTTGGCATGTCTTGTGTATTTCTTTCAGATCTGTGTAGTAATCCAGTTTGAAATCCTGTCTTTGCGCAGGAGCTTCCTGTAATAAAGAACGATTGCTACTGATGTCTCTCTTTTTGTGCAGGGTGACTGGTCTTCTATTCATCCCCTCCTGTAGTTTTCTGCAGGCATCCAGTGGGTAGGTCTGCTGGGCCCTTCCCATAGCTCTGTTCTCTACACAGGTTATATGCAGCACAATGATAATGCTCAAAACGGATGGCCCAAAATGTGCCACATCCCTGTTTAATTTAGACCAACAAAGCATTTGACATGGTGGGACTTTTCAGGTACAACAAAATTGTTCTTTTAAAACATACAGTTTATTTGTACAAAAAAAACCACTTTAAAATATTATATTTTCATCAAATTTAGTTTATAAAAACCACATTTGTATATCAAACTTGCATTACATCTCAAATATAACATAAATTGCAAATTCAGATTCTCAAAATCTTGAAGATTTTCTTGGATTTTATCCACTTCATCAGGAGTAAGAGATGAATGTCTCTGAATATAAAAACATACAGTATTAACACATATTGTATTCCGTCCAAATGTACATGTACAGTTTTTAAATTTACCATTTACCTGAATAAGCTATAAAAGAAAAGGAAAGAAAACTGTTAGAGGCCCAAGCAAGGAGGCAGATCTGCATGTTGGAGTCCCAATTCAGCTCTTACATATCAGAGGATGCTACACAGGCAAATTGATGGATTGTATCGCATACTATATTCATAAATTGAATGAACAGAGAATATATATGTATGGGATGCATGTACAGTTGTGTTCAAAATAATAGCAGTGTGTTGAAAAAAGTGAATAAAGCTCAAAATCCTTCTAATAGCTTTTATTTCCATACACACAAATGCATTGGGAACACTACACATTCTATTCCAAATCAAAACATGAAGAAAAATATATCAAATTTGTGTTGTTCCTCTAAAAAAAATTGAAGAAAAGTGAATATTAGACTGTTCAAAAAAATAGCAGTGTTTGTATTCTTCTTTACAAACTCAAACATTCACTATATAAACTGAAAATATGTTTGAAGATTTTGCTTTCCTTTGAATCACTTAATTAATATTTAGTTGTATAAGCACTGTTTCTGAGAACTGCTGCACATCTGTGTTGCATGGAGTCAACCAACTCCTGGTACCTATGAACAGGTATTCCAGCCCAGGATGATTGGACTACATTCCACAGTTCTTCTCTATCTCTTGGTTTTGCCTCAGAAACTGCATTTTTGATGTCACCCAACAAGTTTTCTATTGGATTAAGATCCGGGGATTGGGCTGGCCACTCCATAACGTTAATCTTGTTGGTCTGGAACCAAGATGTTGCACGTTTACTAGTCGTTTACTAGTGTGTTTGGGGTCGTTTTCTTGTTGGAACACCCATTTCAAGGGCGTTTCCTCTTGAGCATAAGGCAGCATAACCTCTTCAAGTATTCTGATGTATTCAAACTGACCCACGATCCCTGGTATGCGATAAATAGGCCCAACACCGTAGTATGAGAAACATCCCCATATCATGATGCTTGCGCAACCATGCTTCACTGTCTTCACAGTGTACTGTGGCTTGAATTCAGTGTTTGGGGGTCGTCTGACAAACTGTCTCCGGCCACTAGACCCAAAAAGAACAATCTTACTTTCATCAGTCCACAAAATGTTGCGCCATTTCTCTTTAGGCCAGTCAATGTGCTCTTTGCAAACTGTAACCTCTTCAGCATGTCTTTTTTTCAACAGTGGAACTCTGCGGGGGCTTCTTGCAGATAGCTTGGCTTCACATAGGCGTCTTCTAATTGTAACAGTACTCACAGGTAACTTTAGACCTTCTTTGATCTTCCTGGAGCTGATTGTTGGCTGAGTCCTTGCCATTTTGGCTATTCTTCTATCCATTCGAATGGTAGTTTTTCGCTTTCTTCCACGTCTTTCAGGTTTTGGTTGCCATTTTAAAGCATTTGTGATCATTTTAGATGAGTAGCCTATCATTTTCTGCACTTCTTTATCTGTTTTCCCCTCTTCAATCAACCTTTTAATCAAGGTACACTGTTCTTCTGAACAATGTCTGGAACGACCCATTTTCCTCAGAATTTCAGAGAGGAATGCACTGTAACCAGCATGTACAACATTTGCTGCCTTCCTTCCTTAAATAAGGGCGATAATTGCCACCTGTTTTTCAAAAAACTAATGACCTCACTAATGGAACTCCACACTGCTATTATTTTGAACATGCCCCTTTCAATTAGTGATTCAATTACACAGAATCAGCAGCATGCATGTCAGGACTGTTGGGTCTGTTGGATTTGTATTACTCTACTACACCTGCTAGTAAATTATTTGCCATGTAGAAATATCATTTCTACCAAAAACAGTGATTGATCAGGTTAGTGATGTCTGACTGCCTTTATTTTGAACACAACTGTATGTATATATATATATATATATATATATGGATATATGAGAGATATTTCTTATACATTATAAATAATCTCGACAATATATTTTCTCTTCATACAATTTATGAATATAGTATGCAATACAATCCATCTGTTTGCTTGTGCAGTGTCCTCTTAATATGTGTTAACAATATATGTTTTTATATTCAGAGACATTCATCTCTAGCTCCTGATGAAGTGGATGAAATCCAACAAATAAGTCGAGATTTTTGAGAATCTGAATTTGCAATTTATATTATATTTGAGATGCAATGCAAGTTTTATACACTAAGGTTGATGAAAATATTATATTTTAAAGTGGTTTTTGTAGAATTCAGCTATATGTTTTAAAAGAACAGTTTTGTTGTGCTGGAAAAATCCCACCAAGTTAAATGCTTTGTTGGCCTAAGCACAATGATAATGTCACAACTGACAGCCTTTGCAATGATATGTGGAGCACACAAAGTTAATTTAATCTATTGGGGATTATTTACTAAAACTGTAACATGCACAATCTGGTGCAGCTCTGCCTGAAAACCAATCAGCTTCCAGGTTTTATTGTCAAAGCTTATTTGAACAAACTGGCTTTAGAAGTTGATTGGCTACCATGCACAGTGCACCAGTTTTAGTAAGTCTTCCCCTTTGTGTCTTTCCAGGAATATATTTAAATGAAAGCCTTTATCCCGGAGTTCAGCTTTAAGATAACTGGTGACATTTCTTAATGCAAGAAATGTATTACCACACACCAAGTTCATATGCAATGCAATTCAAGAAAAAATATTTTTCTACATATACATGATTTAGGCAAACACATGCTGTGAGTAAATACAAAAAAGATATTTATGCTTTCTGTGGAATGTAATTATAATTTAAAAGAAAACTCTCTTTTTAGTGTTGCACCCTCCTAGTTTAGCTAGGGGGAACTAGACCCTGATGGCTAAAGAGGAGCTGATTAGCAGATCAGGTGAGATAGTCAGAGGGGTCAAATTCTGGCCTGGACTGAGAGACTCTGCAAGCCAGCCCCTCTTGAATTTCCCCGTGTTGTGAGGCTTTCGGTGGAGGACCTTGGAGGCAGTGGGTGGTTCTAAGGTGTGGTTGGCTGTGCTTTTGAGGGACCTTAGCCAATCCCCAACAGAAGACTTAGCAGGGGCTGGATTCCCTTAAACATGTAAGAGCCTGCTCAGTAGGAAAAGAGTCGGGTGGAATAAGGAGAGAGGGAGATGTGAGGCTGGAGGAGGAAGGCTGCCAGGAGGCCTAGTGGGATGGGGCCTGCTTGCAAGCCTGGAACTGGAAAGAATGAAAACTCAGAACTCACTGGCCCCCTGAGAGAGGACCACCTGTATGGCAGGAAAGGAGCAGCCCAGCTGATAGGGCTGGTAGCAGCAGCCATTCCACAAGCAGTACAAGAGAGGATCTGAGTGAGTACACCTGCACCCCCTGGGCCGATAGGGGAAGGAGCACTTTGGTAGGAAACCAGATTAGCCCTCTACTAGTGTCTGGACACCTTAATTAAAGGAACAGGAGCAGATCCCCTGCTCAGGAACAAAGTCTCCAGATTGCTGGGTGAAGAGGAGTTCATCTAGGATCTGGGGTAGTACAACTGGAGCTGCTGGCTACCACTCCAGCAGAGACTGCATCAGAGAAGCTGTGAATAGTTCAGAAAGTTGTCCTCAGCTTTCAGTTCCCTTGGGCATCCTATACACCCCTATACCCTATCCAAGTTTAATCTCCTCAATAAAATAACAAAACCAACGCTAAAGGCCTTATTTCCGTCTGTGAATGAAAGCTTGTGTGGAAAATGCTAACTGACTGACTGACTGTGCAGGACTATAGTCCAAATTCATCAGCAATCCCTGAGGGGTTAGTGCTTCATTAGTTTAGTTATCTTTCATAGCCCCCACTACCCCCAGTATCAAGCCTTGAAGCCTTACACTTACATGTCTCCTCTCTGCAGAGATCCCCCCTGTGGCATGCTGGCACTGGCAGCCTGTTCTTCAGAAGTCTTCCAGTTGGCCTCCACTTCTGTTGCATATGCAACACAAATATCTATTTGTTCATATAGAAAAGCTGCCTATCTTTCATCTCAATTCATTGTGGCTTTTCCAAACTGCTGAATGCAGATTGTAGTACACATGCATAAGGGGAGTAGAGCATGTCTGCGAGACTTTTGAGGAGGAGTGTCAAAGATCTTTATCATGAGTTGGGAAAGAAAGTGTAATGATTGAATGGCATCCTAGAAGAGAGCACAAGAAAAACTCAAATGTACAGTTATGCTCTCAAATGTAATTTGCTACCCATTTGACTGGCTCTGATCCACTTTTTCATATAGTAAAGCATATCGTCAACAACGTAGCAGGCAGCTATACACTATAATATAATAATTCTCATCAGATACATTCTATAATGCAGATTTCCTTAAAGTATATGT